CTTCCAGAATTTTTTTTAGAACATTTTATTCCTAAAGCATGTCTTATCAGCAGGTAAAATACAAACATTATTATTTTTGTCAAGCAACTTTCCTTTAAAATAATTCCCAAGATTTTTTTGTCTTTTTTTAGGGGAAGAGAGGGGGGGGGGGTATTCAAATAATTTTGCTTGTGTAAGGCCGTTGTCGGTAAGCCTCCTTGACGAGGATTTGCTTGGGAGCAGAACGATTGGACTTGCTGACGTTGTTTTATATCCTATTTTCTTTGCAGTGGCAGCAATTATAGTCGCTAGGGTTGTATGAAAAGGAGGGGGAGGGGGAGAGGTTGCCTTGCCACATTCGTCCCCGCCAACCACAATTGCATTTGTTTGGAAAAAGTCGAAAAATGTCGAAAAATCGACGTGTTTATTTATTATCTATTGTGAAGCATATATTGTAGTAGACATCTAGTCATTTAAAATGACACTGTTTTATTTTATTGAGCTGTCGGACCCAGTATGTGTTTCTACCTCATCTAAACGCATCCCCTTTTCGCTGTGCCTTCAGGTCGGCTCCAGACGGCGCAGCTGCAGGTGCGGGAGGAGATGGCGAGATCGTCGGGGGACCAAGGAACCCCCAGCAGATCGCTGCGCAGAGAAGATTACAACAGACTCAAGCGCAAGTCGACGAGGAAAGTTTCGCCTGTATAGTAATAATAAGTTTTGTGACGATGTCATGTATTTATCACGCCATTCTTCGATGCGCAGGTCGTGGACATAATGAAGACCAACGTGGAGAAGGTGCTTGAGCGAGATCAGAAGCTGTCAGAACTCGACGATCGAGCAGGTTAGCAGCTAGCTCATCCCTATAAAGTGTCTGTCGTGACGAGGACAATCCAACTCCAGCCAGACAATCAAACCTAACAAACCATCTACTGTAGCGTTCGCACTACCTGCCACCGTGTAAGAGCCGGGAGCGCCTGGCAGGGTAGGCATGCCCGCAGCGCGGCCGTGTATACGCCCGCATCGGTGGCCTACCCGCCCGGCGCTCGGGCCGACCGCGCCTGCCCGTAGACGTGTGGTGACATTCAGAACACGCCTGCCCGTAGGCGTGCGGTGACACCCAGAACACGCCTGCCCGTAGGCGTGCGGTGACATTCAGAACACGCCTGCCCGCGCGAATCATGTCTTTCGACCTGTTTCAGATGCTTTGCAGCAAGGGGCCTCTCAGTTTGAACAGCAGGCCGGGAAACTGAAGAGAAAGTTTTGGCTTCAAAATCTGAAGGTAAGTTCATCGCCATTTTCACTACTTTTGCGAAAACGCAACGACTTTGCTAATTCTAATGCCTGTTTAAAATTTATTTTTAGATGATGATCATTATGGGCGTGATTGGGCTCGTGATATTAGCCATCATTGTGGGTAAGTAAAAGCTCTGCAAGTGCGTGTGTGACATTTCTTTGGCGGCTCTCTTCTTGCCGGCGGCCTTGTCTTGCCCTGCGCCTTACCCAGGGTGGAGTACGGGGTCCTACGTGCAGGGCGCACTCGACTGCTGGTTGTTCATATCTGACTATGTTATTTCTTTCCCTCCAGCAAACTTCATGTAATCTAGCCCCTGTGTCTGTGAGAGCGACTGAGGTTAGAGCTCACTTCCATCTCTATCTAAATCCTTAGCTCTGTCTGTGTGATGTCTGTCTCTGTCTTACACTCGCAGGACGGTGGAGTCCCAGTCCCCCACCACACATTTTTAGTCATGGCGGGGTAGCCCCAATCAACACAGTCACTTCCACGTCAGAACACTTTTAGTGACCATATCTTATTCTCTTGATATTTTATTATTATTTTAGAACTACTTAAACGCGCCTCTCCACTGATTAACTCATGGAGTGGTACAATCTTGTCGGCGAGCCATCGACCGAGGCCCAATATCCTGTGATACCTTGCTTTGTTATTATTTTTCCCCTCTTCTTATTCCTTCTGTTATTGTTATTACTGAACATATTGTTTTTTCCTGTTCTTGTTTCATCCATGCTTTCCTTCCTCGTTTCCTCTCCCTTAGACAGCCCACACCACGTGTGTTTGTGACCACGTGTGACCAACACACACACAGGTACACCGGCACACCGGTAGGTCATTTTCCACTGGGACTTCTCCCGTCCGCATGCCTCTTGTCCATCTGTCTTTCCTTTCGCCCATATTACCCCCGCCTTGCCAATAGCGGTGAGGGCCAACTCTCTTACTGGGAATAATTTTTAAAAAGAGAACAAGGTTACAAAAATACACGTTACAGTAAGGGATATCTTGAGAATTTCTCTTTATTATGCATTCGAAATTTAGGGAATTTGAGGATGGCCTTTATTGACTATACAAAGAATCGAAAACCATGCTCCGAAATTGGCAAGAATATGTTTTGTGTGTTCATGTGTGTGTTGCTTGCGGCGCGCATGGCTAATGTGTGTGGTGCTGCAGTGTTTGTTTGGTCATTCCCTCCTCGCTGAGTTGGCCTTCCCCTGCCTCCTTGCATGCCGGGAAAGGATCGCTCGCGTCGCTCTATCCAATCACTTGTCTCTCATTTCTTGTTCTGCTTCTATTTTCAGGCAAATTTGCTTGAATGCAGATTGGCATTTTGGCGTACAAGGAGACGGTACGTTGAGCAACTAGACGTGTGTAGCTCTTTTCTGTTGCTGCCGCGAGACTCTGAGACTCCGAGTAGCAGCGAGTCACTCGTTGAGGCGTAGCACATATATTTTCATTTTTCTGTAGAGAACTACGATGTTTCTGTACAGAGACACGACATTGGTCCAGTGTGCACTGGAAACGCAAGTGTGTAAATGTCGCACATTTGCAGGTGTGTGAATGTTTATTTGTACACTTAGGGGGGTAAACGTGTGAATTTTCTAGGAAAAATTCACACGTTTACCCCCGTATGTGTACGAATGGGTGTTCACACACCTGCAAGTGTGCGACATTCACACACTTGGGTTTCCAGTGTGGGTAAAATAGTTATTTGAAAAAACATGACCTATTAGAGTGAAAACTTATTGGTGGTGGCGTCTATGTGGTGTGTTTTAGGCTTGTCTATTTTGCCCACACTAGACCTCGGTGAGACGCTCCGTCCCCCTGTGCCGTGCACGGCCTTGTGCGCTATTCTTCTCACTCTGTCTTTCTTTTCTTCCTCGTCTTCTTTTCTCCACATTTTAAATGTATTATACATTTTGCAAAATCTGATATGCACGGACTGTATGGGCAGGCAACGATGGCTTGTAAGCTCCGTCCAACACAGCAAAACTTGTTGGTGACACTCACCCCTCGACCCTATCGTCTACCGTGTCCATGCAGTCTTGCATTCAGATGGCTCTTGCATGAAACACGGAGTGATAGCATCTCAAACTCTATAACTTTACGGTGTGTTTGTTTTTATGGGTGAATTCTGTCTCTGAGCTTTGTGTGTGTCTTATATGTTTGTGCTTGGATTCTTAATACTTTCTTGTTGGCTTTCTCTATTGCACGTGTGTGGTATATTGTTACGAGTTAGTGGGCTTTTACACTTGAATGTAATCTACTACTCTTGGTAAGTAATATGTTTCCTCCACCAATAACACTTAAACGAGAAAGAGAAGCATAGAATTATTTGCATTAGAACATGGAACGAGGCTAAAACCCTCATGATTCGGTTGTACCCAAAAATCTCTTTTCTCTCTGCTGTTTTTTGTTTGTTTTTAAACAATTGTATAGTTGCACCGTTAGAGCTTGAAAATATGAACACCGGTTGTGTGATCTGCGCCGCCCATTTCTGGTCATACTGTGCCGAATTCAGGCGTGTGGATGGATTGTACACTGATAAACTAAGTGTTCAACTGCTCAACACTTGTAAGTGTGCAACTGCAAGTTGAATACTTGCAAGTATGCAAGTCCGTAGTTGTACACTTGCAAGTGTTCAACTCGGTAGGTGTGCACTTGCAAGTGTGCAACTCCTCGGTTAAACACTTCCTTAGATTATACGCACACTGTATAGAAAGTGCTCAACCGAGGAGTTGCACACTTGCAAGTGCACACCTACCGAGTTGAACACTTGCAAATATTCAACTTGCAAGTTGCACACTTGCAAGTATTTAACTAGCAGTTGCACACTTGCAAGTGTTGAGCAGTTGGACACTTAGTTTATCAGTCTATACTTGCACGAGGCCATAATGACCCATGGCGAGCGACGATAGGCACAAGACCGAATCGCCTGAATCCGCCCGTGATAAAATGGATCATGTGCA